GCTCTGTATCTCTGTGCTCAAAGGCCGATTCTGCTGTTTTCTGGCTGGATGAGCTTGGTTAGATCACTTAACCTTCGCTCATCCCACATCTTCAACTTCAAATGAATGCTACTTTAGCACTGATGCGAATGTGGGAATGTGGAGCTTTAAATGAAGAGTACATGTTTGTAAATACTCACAACACTGCACAAAGTAACTCACCCCGTAGATGTGGTCCTTTCATATCTCTTTCTCCAAACCTCCAAACCCTGATTCTAAAGATTCAGGTCAGCTGAAACTTATAAAGACAACAAAGCACATTAGGGCACACTGGGACATCTAAAGAAACTGCTACATCTGCAGGCAAGCAAGAGTTGCTAAGATTAAATTAGCAAACTCCGAGCAGGCTAGATATCCTGAACTCAAAGTGCTTGAGAGCAGAGATTGCAGGTTTTCTTTCCTCTTTTCGGGTTGTGGAATGCTTACATACAAAGAATGAGGTAGTTTGAGGATAGAGCTTGAGGTGATTTGAATAAAAATGCCCCTCATAGGCTCAAACATCTGAATGCTTGGGTCCTACTTGGTGGCTCTGTTTGGAAAGGTTACGGGGAGGCGCTGCCTTACCAGAGGAAGCATATCACTAGGGTAGGCTTTGAGAGATTTTAAAGCTTTGCTCCACTTCCTGTTTGCTCTTCTGTGTACTTATGGTTAAACATTCGAGCTCCAACTTCCTGTTCCTGCCAAGCCTGCTGCTTTCTGCCATGCTTCTGCTCATTAGGATGGACTTTTGTCCCTTTGGAACCATAAGCTCAAATAAACTCTCCTGGAAGCCGCCTTAGTCATCATGGCGTTCGATCTCAGCAACTGAAGAGTAACTAACAGAACCAAATTTCTTTATTATGTGTGTATACATGCTTACGCATGGGTGTGTTCAGCCCCAAGGGCATTCGTGGAGCTCCAAAGTGAATATTTGGGCATCTTCAAAAAACCTTTTATGTGTATGGGTGGGGCTTTTGTGTGTATGTATATCTGTATATATACATATATTTATATATAATATGCTATATATATGTATATGTATATGCACATATATATTGTGCGTGCCTGGAGCCCATGGATCCCCGGAGAGGGCAGTAGATATTCTGGGACTGAGCTGACTTAAGGGTGCTGGTAATTGAATCCAGGTTCTCTAGAGGAGCAGTACGTGCTCTTAGTGCTGAGCCAGCTCTTCAGCCCCTGGGATATCTTCACTTCTCTACCTCACTTTTTTGGGGTAGAGCCTCTCACTGACCCTCAAGCTCACTGCTTCTGTTAGACAAGCTGGCCAGCAAACCTCCAGCATCTGCCTGTCTCCATCCTTCAGTACTGGAGTTCCAGGCACACATGCCTTGCCTGTCGTTCTTAGTGGCTGCTGGGGATCTGAACTCTTTACCCACCGGGCCATTTCCTCAGCCCTCACTTATCATTCTTACAGATTTTTTAAAAAACAATATGTGTGTCTTTGTGGGAGTATGTGCACATGACTGAAGGTATCCTTAGAGGCCAGACAAGGGTACCTACGGATCTGGAACTAGAGTTAAAATTGGTTATGAGCTGCCAGACATAGGTGCTGGGGACTGAATTCAGGTCTTCTGCAAGAACACCAAGCATTAACTACTGAGCCATTGCTTCAGGTCCCTCATTTATACTTTATATAAACCTTAAACACACACCCTGAAGGTGAGTCTATAAACATTTTAACACACCTGAAATTCCATTTGTGAGATCTTATCAGTGCTCAATGTGTACTGAATTTGGGAGCATTTTGGATTTTCAGATTAAGATTGCTCAAACTATGTTAAACCTGAAGTCCCAGGGTGGTTAGCAACGCTCAGAGCACTCATTTTTCTTCCAGCACTCTACATCTGTCCTCAGTAAGATCATCTTCAATTCTGAGACTGGCCCTAGCAGTGGTTTCTAAAGATGACACATGATTGCTCAACTGGGTGACAGGGAGAATGTAGACAGTCTTTGATATGACAACACAGAGAAATAGCTAGAAACAATCAGTTGTAGCCATGGCTAGTACATTAGGTATAATCAAGACCCTTGGGCCTACCAGAATGTTCTTCAGATGAAGAGCAACAGACATTTGTGACATCACAAGGCAGGGGCAGCCCATGAAGCAGGAGCAAAGACAGCTTCAGCGAAAAGGGCCGTGAGGCCCAAGTGAAGACAGGGAGACTGTGATGCCCCTGTCCAGCCAGTCCCCTCTGTGCAGCCAGTGGAGAACCAGGCTTGAGTTTTGAAAAGATATCTGGGACCAAGTCCCAATATCAAACACGTTTTTGGCTATGTTATCTCTATTCTCTGGGCCTCTAATTGCCTTACAGGTAAACCAATTCAAAGATTCAAAATCAACACATACATTGCTGTCAGTCTCTGTCCTCAAAAGAAAGAGTGCTTTGTGGTCTCTTGAGTACCGCCCCCCCCCCCCATCTGTAGATCTATATACCTGTTTCAAGTGTGGAAGTGGGGGTGTGGTCACAGAGCAGCAGCAGGTCTCACTCCCACTCACAATGTCCCACCTCTAGATTATCCTAAGAGATAGCCTAGAGAGGCTCCAAAGTCCTGGTTATCTTTGGAATCCAAGTGGCTTCAGATAAAAGCAGCCATGGCAGGTTCCAGAACAGTGTCATCCAGCAAAAACAGGCAGAGTGACTAGGTCATTTAAAGAGCCCTACTAAGTCATATTTGAACTAAAAGAGTGAGATTAATTTTAACATGCTACTTAATCTTGCATACCCAACACATAAGCAATCCATGCACAGTATAACAACATCCTTTATATGTTTCACAAGTTTTCAAAATCCACTGTGTGGTGTTTTTTTTTAACCATGTGTTTTAAACTCAGTGTTTCTTGGTTCCAACTAACCACATATCAAGTGTTCAAAGTCACATGTGAGTGGCCACCATAATGAAACACAGAGTCCCTTTCTGCATTACAAATATTTGCTACTCAAGGTTAGTAGCAAAGACAAACACGTAGGCCTCCAGGGCTAGAACTGGCTCCTGCTGACTCAGCTCATGGCCCTGCGACTGATTCCGCCCCTGCAGCTAAACACCGAACTTGACTTCCCACAGCAATCCAGTGAGGGCCTGGCCTCTCTTCCAAGAAGGTGCCTTGTTACTGTGTGAACTGGGTGGAAATAAAAGCCAAGGATGCACAGTGAGTGAGAAAGAACAGAGAATCCCCTTCTCACTGCCGTCCACAAAAGCTGTGCCCTCAGGACATTATCACCTCAGAGAGGTGTCTACCCCTAAGCACTACCACACTGAGGACTGGAGCTCAGGGTGTGAGCAGGCCTTCACAGTTGCTTCCTTCAGGGGCGCCCCCTGGCCTTGCCAGAGGCTGGATAGTGTTGCAGAGTGTTTCAGGACTGACTCTGGAGAATCTTCCTTCCTACCTCTTCACTTTCTATTCCTCAGCACATGCCCTGCTTCTTGCAGAGTGAATATCACCTTTACCTTGGGATTTAATTTTGCAGAACTTCCTCTCCCTAACTTAATTCTTGACTCTCCAAGAATCTACCATGACCTTGAGTGCTGTTTTGAAGTCCTCACCATTCTGCCATCAGGCACGCGACTTAACCTTTTGAACATGTCCATCTAACAGTATCTGGTTTCCGTCTCAGATCCTGGCCACACTTAGCTTCATTCTTTCGCTCTAACACACAGCACAAGGCCCTGGTAGGACCTATATGCTCCTTACAGTGTGTAGGAGCTACAAAGCAGCAGGAGCGTGTTACAAGTCCCAAGGGCAATGAAGATGCTTCGCTCTTTCTCTGGCATTAAAACTGAACAGCAAGGCTTTGCTGTTCAATACTGATTGTGTTCATGGCCCTTAGCAGACTGATTTCACACATTTAAACCTAAAGGCTGTTTTAGAAAGTATTTTCACAATACTATGACTCCAAATTGGAGCTATGACTCCAAATCAGGAATGGAAAAGCGTCATAGAATAGTGATCACAAAAACAAAACAACAACAACAAAAAACCCCGAAAGAACAAAACAAAAAAACCATCTGAAATCTGACTTCTACCTTGAGTATTGAAAAACTGTACTGCCTAATTTAAAAAAAAAAACACTTCTAAATATTTGCATATGTTAATGATCTGGTAATTCCATACTTCAGGTTTGATTGATGATGAGTAGTTTTGTCAGTTTTCCCAATTTTTCAGCCTGGATAACTAAGAGTTTTAGTTAACTGAATTGTGATAATTTATTAGTTTGAAACCATAATAATCATCTCATTAAATGAACTACATTTTTTCTCACATTGCTCTGTGACTCACAATTTATAGGTTTGTAAGTACTTTTAGAAAGAGTCTCCTACCTTCTAAAGCACAAACCTCCCAAAGTCTTTAAACAACAGAGAACCTCCTCCTACCATGCCCCAATCCCTCCCACAAGCACCTTCTCATTTTTTTTTTCTGGGCCAGGAATTTACATTTTACAGATACACAGATGAGCACAGACAAGAGTCACATCCAATACTTTAGAACTTAAACCATGGATGGGAACCCCCAACTCAAGTGAATACTCAGGGATAGGTTATAACCTTTCAGCCACAAAACTGGGAACTTCTTTTCTGGCCTCTATGGAAAGTACATACAGCCTAACTCCAACAGCCTAACCTTGCTAATCCTTAAAGATCTAAGGACCGAATGGTGTGTCCTTGGATACTGGCATGCTGACATTCAGGGCCGAGCATTGTGTATCTGGGTGTGCGGATAGAAACGAGCTACAGAACAATCTCTTTGCATCACCAATGTGCACTTTTGTGGAAGCACTCAACTCGATCGAGGTGGCGGGGGGGGGGGGGGGGGGGGGGGGGGGGGGCGGTTGTCAGGCTTAGTTGACAGCTAGCCAGAAGGTGGACACCTTCTGGCTCTCGATCATCAGTGGCGAAAGAACGTCAGGGGTCTAAAGCATGCCTTCAAAAACACCTCCCATCAGTAATGACGCCTGAGCCTTCCACAGAGCTGATAATGTTTTATTCCACTTCAATTACTTCACATTTTGGTCTTCCTCTCTGAGCTAGGACAGGGTAGGGAGGTATAAAAAGCTCTACTGCTTTAGGATTCATCTTCGTCATAGTTCATCTGGGCTTTTCCACTACTTTGAAGTCCAGGGTCACTCTTCTGCAGCTTCCCTGATATTTTTCTGGAGAGGCCCAGGCAGGCCTGCTCAGCTTCCCATTCCTCTTCCCAGGACACATGCTGCGACCAGAGACCCCACCAATAGGCCAAGTTCTAGGAACCAGAGCCTCTAGCGTCGGCTCTTCCAGGCTCCTCAAGCGCCACTCAGTCTGGCTGCTCACCCTCAACTCCTGTTCCTTCCCGCCTGCACTTGCTGTTCCAGGTTGGCGCTCCTTGGCTCGCCTAGGGCCCTGCGCCACTGAGGGCCGGCGGCCCAGCACCGTGGGGCGGATGGAGTGCGAGCGCCAAGGCACCGCGACCTGGGGGCTGGCCGGGGGAGGATCCGGGGCCGCGATGTGCGGGGGCGGGGGAGGCGGGGGCGGGGGCTGCCGGTGCCAGGGCTGCGAGGTTGGAGGGCAGCTCGGAGGGCCGCTCATCACGCGCCCCCAGCGGCCGCCCTCATAGTGCCTGGCCTCCTCCTCCGGGTAGCTCTCGGGCGTGCAGCCTTCAAGTTCGGAGTCGGGCTCCTGCGAGTAGGCTGGGGACGGCGGGGGAGTGGCAGGGGCACGGAAGTAGGGGTACAGGAGCGCGGCGCGCAGCCGCCGCGCGGGAGAGCAATAGGGAAGCCGCAGGGGCAGCGACATCTGCGGGCCGGGGCGAGCGGGACGGCAGGGAGGCCAGCCCTGTGCGCTCTCAAGTCCAGCCCAGCGCAGCTACAGCCATGGCGGGACCGGCTTCGAGTAGCCTCCGGCCTCGGGAAAGTTGGACGGACACTTCTGAGTCTCCACCCGGAATCACGGGGTGGAATGGAGACGCTGTCAGCCCTGTGTCCGCACCGGGAGGCGTGGGAGGGTCCGAAGAACCAGTTTCAGCCGGAGCGGCCAGCGCAATCCCTTGACACTTCAGTCCCGGGAAGGGTTAACCGCGTCCTGCCGCCTAGGTTTACATGTCAATAGAGAGCTGCTGCTCCGCGCGGGCCAAGGCTGGCACTTTTAAGTTTTTGATTGGTTGCCAATGACATCACCACCCGTGTTCTAACACACCAAACCCACAAGCGGGTCTGAGCGGGCCTTCTTCCCGCGGGGAGGCCGCGCCCCTTTCTCCGCCCTCCTCGGCCGACTATTGGCCAGAGGCCACTGTGAGGTAGCGGGCGGCGGTCTCTGGGTCCTCATTGGCGCAATGCGACGTCGCTCGGCGGTAGCCCCGCCCCCTCCGAAGCTTACATTTACGCTGTAGCTAAAGAGAAAGTAACTCTGTGTTGCTGCTGGGGATCAATGAAGCTGAGTGAATGGGGGCGCACTGCGCGAGCGCATAGCTGGAGCCGGCGCCAGATGGTGGAGGGCTACGCTTATTGATGAAGTAAGTGGAAGTCATTGAGCATTGAGGCCACTCAGAGCAGGAGGGTGGAGGGTCCCGTGTGTGTGTGTGTGTGTGTGTGTGTGTGTGTGTGTGTGTGTGTGTGTGTGTGT